ACATACAGTGGCATTTCCTTATAGTGACTTTATCATGTCATGCAAGGTTGAAATTAAACAAAAACATATATACAATATATTAAATAATACATTTCCATATTTAGTAAACTAGTGCTTATTTTTCAGTATATTGCAATATAAGCATGGACCATGTGTGGCTAAATATTGATATGTATAAAAATACAAAGCACTGCACTACATTTTTATTATATGTAACAGCTTTACTGAAACAGTCACACTTTAGTTTGGGGAGCAATTCTCACTATTAACTATTAACTACAACTTTTGCTTCAATAAAATCCTTATTTGCTTAGTAAGGTAGTTGGTACGTTTAGGTATGGAGTTGAATTAAAGGATCTAAAATATGGTTATGCAGAATAAGGCATTAATATGTGTTTTATAAGTACTAATAATAATATACACGATAATAAGCATGCTCTTTCATGAGTTAATGCATGGGTTAACATAAAGTTCAACACATTCATAAACTTTTATTTCGCTTTCTGAATTTTTGGAAAATTGTCTTGTTAATGACAAGGCAAATTGGTGGGTGGAAAATGAAATTTGACATTTATAACTTAATGGATTGAATATAAAAATATATATATATACACACATATGTATATGTATGTAGATTCTTATATATACATTTTTATATATATATAGCTTTTAGATTCTTTATTGAAGTTCCAGAAAGCTGTAAGAGATGCAAAAAATAGTTAAATTTCCAATAGGGCTGAGGGTAGTAACCCAAAATTATTGTTCTCTATAATAAATTTGGTAATAAATCTGTCGAACAATATGCATTAAAAGTCCTCATTGATATCCTTTGATGAATTTCTAAACTTTTTTAGGCAAAAGTTTGCTGACAGCGTCTCTAGATTCCAGTAGTGCCTATTAATATCAATATTGCAAGGTATTATACAAAAACTTGAACCCACTTTTTGTGTAAACGATATGATGCATAGTCGTTTGTAAAAGCAGGCTTTCGACTGTGTATCTCCGAGTTTAATGCACTTGATTAACAAACGTTTCTTTACAGGCTCATGTCCATTAGCTTTTAAAGGGTGTTCACACAAAAATTAAAATTCTGTCATTAATTACTCACCCTCATGTTGTTCCAAACCCTTAAGACCTTCGTTCATCTTCGGAACACAAATTAAGATATTTTTGATGAAATCTCAGAGCTCTCTAACCCTCCCATAGACAGCAAGGTAACTACCACGTTCAAGGTCCAGAAAAGTACCAAGATGATCAACAAAGTATGTGTGACATCAGTGGTTCAACTGCAAAAGTTACGAAGCTATACTTTACTTTTTTGCACAAAAAAAACAAAAATAACTATTTTATTCCACAGTATCATAGACAGTATCATGATGCAAGCGTGTGGTCTGGGTCAGCGCCGGCACCGCCACACGCTCACGTCATGATTAATTACACGAGGGTGAGTAATTAATGACAGAATTTTTGGGTGAACTAACCCTTTAAGCACGCTTTCGTGACACCTCGGCTTAAACGGCCAAACTTGGCCCCCAATGATATGAAGAATTATAGACCTATAATCACAGTTGCCTTTTGTTTCGAAAATTTCAGAAAATGTGGTTTTGCAACAACTACTTGCATTTTTAAATGAAAATTCTATTGTAGAAATGTTTCAATCTGGGTTTAAGGTGGATCATAGTACAGAGTCAGCATTACTGAAAGTTCTCAACGATGACATCTTAGCGCTAGATAAGGGAAACTGTGTTATTTCAGTAGGTAGGTAGCATTCTTAGAAAGCATGGAGTACCATTTCATTGCTTCGCCAACGATTCACCCAACTGTATACTTACCGCTAAGACATGCAACGGAATCTTTGGATTCTCTTTTAGCATGTCTAAATGATATTGGATGGCAAAAAATGTCCTAATGTTAAATGAAGAAAAGACAAAAGGTCATTGTTTTTGGCCAGCCAAATGATTCTACTGAACTACTTTTAAACTCAAGCCCATTGGCACCATATTTAAAAACACCGGTAAGAGATTTAGGTTTTCAAATTGAGGATAATTTAAAAATGGAGAAGCAAATTAATTCTGTGGTACGTACCTGTGGTACGTAAACCAAACACTGATTTTGAAAGAGTTATTCACACATTAGTCTCATCGTGTCATGATTTTTGTAACTCGCTGTATGGTGGCATCTGTGCTGCATCATTGGCTCGATTGCATCAGAATGCAGCAGTGAAGCTTTTAAAGGAAGTAAAGGAACTATTTCCCTGGTGCAAGCAAATCTGCACTGGCTCCCTGTCCATCTTAGAGTAAAATGTATGATTTTAATACAATCCCCCCTAGAGCCTTGCACTCCGAAAATTATGAGCATCTGGTAGTGCCTAGGACAAACCGTCATCAAAAAGGCGATCGAGCTTTTGCATTAATGGGGCCAAGACTGTGGAATGAGCTGCCTCTACATATTATGTCTGCTAAATCTCTGTCAATGTTTAAGAATCTGCTAAAAGCTCATTTTGTGGTGGCAGCCTTTGACAGTTAAACCTTATAGTGTGTGGTATATGTGATTGTTTGATTTGTCAACATGTCAATATGCTTATCATGCAAAACACTGTGGTTAACCCGTGTTTTTTTTTTTTTAATTTTAGTAGTGCTATATAGTAAATAAACAAACCAAAATCTGTTATTAGGTTTGAACCCAAACATAGAATATTTCATTAAAAAAATGAAAACTTCATTCACTCATCCTCGTGTTGTTCCAAATCTTTTTTGACAGCTGTGGTCATCATTTACTCACATCATGGCAAAATAACTCCAGTTGTGTTCCACGAAAGTAAGTCGTACTGCGTGAGAAAATGCTGACAGAATTTCAGTAATAAGTGTTCAGTCACTTTCATTTTAGTGCTACAATGTGGTATACAACATATGACATCATTAGTGAACAAATTTCTATTAGTAAAATATGATCCTCAAGCTTCTTGTTCATATACTTTCATATACCTTGAGCAATAAAAAAAGCTCTTGTAAATCACAACACTTAAGAGCCTCAGATTAGAGCGATTACATGACAGTTTGAAGTTCATCTTATAGTAATGTTAAAACTTGAGGTTTGCCTTCACTTAGCCAACAAAATGAAGAAACTTCCTCTAAATATTTTCAACATATCTTTATGGGAAAATTCATTTGACCAAATATATCTATATCTATATATATACATCTATATATCTATATAGATAGATAGATAGAGATAGAGAGAGAGAGAGAGAGAGAGAGAGAGAGAGAGAGATAGATAGATATTTTAATCTGCAGGCTTTTAATTTTTGGTGGTAAAAATGCAATTAAAACAACTTAAAACTGAACTTGATATGACCTGAATCATGAAAAAGTATTATGGAAGTAGAATTTTCAAAAAAACATAAATGAAAGATAAAAGAAAAACACAGACTTTGTGCCCAATAAAAAGTGAGGCACTGGACTAAGAAACAAACACCCTGATAAGTTAACACAATTGATAATAATCATAATTTGATAAATGAAGATTGTTAGGTATATTAAATATCTTGTTTCTAGTAGAGCCCTTGTGTGTGTGTGCAAGCATGTTTTCCATGAAATGTTCTGCAATCAGGGAAGCATTTAGAAATGGTTTGAAACAACATCATAATCAGAATGCTTTGATGCCATAAACTCTATGATGGGTGCAGTGCTGGTTAAAAAAAAAAAAAAACTACAGTCCCGATGCTGATAAATAGTTAGAAGAGGAAATGTTTCCATGAGAGTTTACTGGTATCTTAGTCAGAGATTATAGGTCACTAGGCTGTTAAACTATTTCATCTATTGTTTGGCTGTCTCGCAGGAGACATTTGTTGATTTCCGAAATGTCAGAAAAAAAAAAGAAACCATGACAGTAATTTACATTACAAGCCAAAAGTTTACAAAAGTTACACATGCAACTGAATTTGTTACTCATGATCTTAAAAACGTTTCTCTAAAAGTCTTGCTTAAATGTTTTGAACTAGCTTTGTGGAAAATACAAATTGTGTGTGTATGTATGAATATGAGTTTTTAAATACAACTTTAATACAACATTTTATTTAATTTAGTTTTATTGTTTGAGAGAATGTTCAGAGCTGAAATCTGAGAGCAGACAGAATATAAAATAGTTTTGATATGTTTAGCATTTTTGGTCACTACATAAATCCCATATTTCCATTTCTTTTTTTTTTTGAAAGACCATTATTTTAAAATATGGAAAATAGTTGTAATAAAGAATGAGTCAGTGTGTCCACACTTTTGACACATGGCCACTTTTGTTTTCAACATTTTATCTCATAGTGAATTTTATGAACTTGAATATTACATATATATTTTTATAAACCATTTCTAAAAATTTTATATCATGCTTGTCAGCTATTATACCAACTTCATAATGCATTCATTTTTACATTTCATTTAACATTTTTTAATTCATATATAATATGAATTATTCAGCTTATAAAATATACTGCAGTATATATGCAGTGCTATAAAGTATTAACCAGTTCACCAAATAATAAAATAATTCTGCCATCATTTACATATCGTTCCAAACCTGTATGACCTGTATTTCTTTCTTCTGCTGATCACAAAAGAAGATATTTTGAAGAACATTGGGAACCAAACAACATGGGTGCCCATTGTCTTCAATTGTAAACGCTGAGACATTTCCCTAAATATCTTCTTTTATGTTCCATGGAAGAAAGAAAAACATACAGTTTTGGAATGACATTAGAGTGAATAAATGATGACAGAACTATTGTCCTTGCTTTCCTGTAATGTAGAGTAATGAAGAGTAAATCAGTGTCAGATTGTCACCTCAAATAAATCAATAAAACAAACACCACATATGGTAAATGCACTTGTGAAAAGGAAGGAGGAAGTAAATCTGTTGCCCCACCTGAGACTCCACCAGTGATGCTTAACAGAGTGAGGATGAGGGATGGTTTAAAAGCACGGCCACTCCATTCACTCAGTACAACACACTCAGAGCCTTGAGTCCAGAACCAGAGAGACAGAGACCTGTTACTCAGGTGAGAAATGCAATGTCTGAATCTTCTCTTTAAATTATGTATGTTTTTTCTCTAGGTTTAATTGCACTTATTGTTAAACTCTGTGAATCTGATTACAAATGCAAAGAATGTATTTAGAGTAATTAATTCTTACATTTATTTGACAATTCTCACTCAAAGTATTTTTTAATCATATTTTTTTCAGATCATTTTAGAATAAATTCTATTGGTATTATCTTTTCTGTGCCCCTTAAAATGTGAAATAGCTTTGTTTAAAAACTGCTAAGTTAGATTAAATGCTATTTTGTACTGCATGCATTTTATTTAAAAAGTTAATTATTTTTAATTATTTTAAAATTTTATTATTTCATCATATAATTTTTTTTAACTTTAGTATATAGTAATTTGCCTATAAAATTGTTGAAATGCATAAAAAATTGTCATGAACATAATGTCTTTTATGTGCTCATTCTCTAAATGTCTCAATATGTGTTTCAGAGATGAATCTTCACACTTTTCTTTTTGTGGTGGGATGCTGTTTTGCCCTTTCATTGGGTGGTAAGTTTACCAATAATCGTGCAATAAAAATTTAACTGCTGATCGATCACATCAAAACATGGAAACTTTTTTTTTCTGGTGCATGAAATTTGTGCTTTCAATCATTTAAGCTGTTCATCTGGTGTAACTTCCATCTTGATCCAATTTCATGACTACATATCACTTATTACGTCAGAGCTTTGCTTTTTGTTAATCAAGAAAATAAAAAGATAAACAAAACAAGATTTAATACAAGACATAAATATCTTAGACTGGAGGAATTTCATTAATTTATCCTTCGAAATGGGGGGGGGGGCATGATTACAGGCTTCACTAAATTAGTCATTAATAGATGTACTTAGAATATTAAATTGTTAGATATACGGTTTTCTTTTTTTTTTTGCAGAAGAAGAAAGTCCTGGGAGACGTTTCATTCTAGATTCGATTGAGGAAGCAAAGAAAATCGTGGATGCTGCTTACAAGTATTCTCGTGATGAGTGAGTAACGTTTATAAGAATGTTGCTCAATATTCCTGTTCTGTCATCCCAGTTATTGATCTGCTTATTTTTTATAAATCTCCTAACTTCCAGGAGTTTAGCAAGGGTGCGCAGAGATGTCATCAAGCCTTCCGACAAGCTACGTCTACTGAAACAGCCAGCTCGAAAGACACGAGAGGCCGTGAGAGCCGCAGACTACATGGTGCAGACACTCAGGCTGATCAGTGAGAAAGCCCATCATGTACACAAGAGGTCCATCAATGCTACAGGTATGAAGACAGCATGTTGAAAATCTTGCAAAACTCAGATCAGATCTATCACTGTCTGATGTTCCATGCTCAAGACTGTCAATATGTGTTTTCTCCTAGACCTGCTGACTCTAGACGAGCTGAACACCATTGAACGTCTGACAGGCTGTACAGCTCAAACCCGGCCCCCATCTTGTAGGACCACACCCCTCATAAACAAATATCGAACTATCACCAGTGTCTGCAACAACCGGTAAGTCCTTCCCTCCTTATTCATGGCAGACTTTTTTCAAATACTTTTTTGTTTGCCGAGTTAAACATCTGACTTTGCAATTCCCAGGAGGAACCCACTCCTTGGTGCATCCAATACCGCTTTTACCCGCTGGTTGACTGCTCACTATGAAGATGGCTTCTCCCAGCCCAAAGGGTGGGATCCCAACAAACTGCACAATGGTGCAGTGCTGCCCCTGGTATGATGGAGATGATTATGAATAGTTTACTTGACAATCAATAAGGCCACCAAACAATTAACAATGTCTGAATGCTCTCTTCCTCATTGATTCCAGGTCAGATTGGTTTCAAATCGTATTCTAAGCACTGCAGATGCTGACATAGAGAGTGATCGTGAGTTTACCTTCATGCTCACCATCTTTGGGCAATGGGTTGACCATGATCTGACTTTCACACCCTTCTCACCAAGCATTAGATCCTTCAGCAGTGGCCTCGACTGTGATGAGAGTTGTGAGCGCTCTGAACCCTGCTTCCCAATTCCGGTCAGTCAAGGATTGTCCTTCTGTCAATGATTGTCCCATTGTCTTGTTCTTGTATAATAACAGACTTTCATGCTATATGTAATGTCTGAACACAGGCCCCTCCAGGAGATCAACGCCTGAAGCCTGACACCTGTCTCCCTGTCTTCCGTTCATCACCCACCTGTGGTTCCGGAAACACTGCCTATATGTTTGGTGGGAACCCCAACATTCGGGAACAGATCAATGCTCTAACAGCTTTCCTAGATGGTGGACAGGTTTACGGGTCCGAGGATGGGCTAGCAAAGGAACTTCGAGACCTGACCAATGATGGTGGTCTTCTACGTGTCAATGATCAGTTCCTTGACAATGGACGAGAGCTTTTGCCTTTTACCAGTGTAGAAAGCAACATGTGTGCCACGCGCAGGAAAACCCTCAATGACACCACCCTTACAGAGGTGCCTTGCTTCATTGCAGGTCAGTAACTTGTGCCTTCATAATGCAATTATCAGGCATATTCCTAGTCTAGAACAGGGGTCTCCAACCCTTCTCCTGGAGAGCCACCTTCCTGCAGATTTCAGCTCCAATACCAATCAAACACACCTGAACCAGCTAATCAACCAGGGTTGGAACTGAAGTCTGCAGGATGGGTCTCTTCAGGAGCAGGGTTGGAGATCCCTGATCTAAAATGTATGGTATATGCCTATTATTTGCACAACTCCGTGTGGCAAATGCTAATGAACTCTCAATGTGTGTAGGGGATGTTCGTGTTGATGAAAACACTGCACTCACCTCAGTACACACACTTTTTGTGAGGGAGCACAATAGATTGGCTCGTGCCCTCCGTGTGCTCAACCCTACCTGGAGTAGTGAAACCCTCTATCAAGAGGCAAGAAAAATTGTGGGTGCCTACAACCAGGTAAAGACACCTAATGGAAACTGCTTCAAACATAAGCAGTAACATGTGGAGTACAACATATATATGCATAATCAACCTCTCCTTTCTCTTGTAGATCTTGGTGTTTAAGGAATACTTGCAGCATATTGTGGGCCCTGATGCTTACAATAGACAACTCGCACTATATCCAGGTTATGATGAGAATGTGGACCCTACCATTGCGAATGTCTTTGCCACTGCAGCTTTCCGTTTTGCCCACCTGGCCATCCAACCCATGATATTTCGTCTTGATGAAAATTACCAGAACCATCCTCAATTTCCAAGCGTGCCCCTTTTCGAGGCCTTCTTTTCTCCTTGGAGGGTGATCTTTGAGGGTGAGTTTGTGATGCTTGTTTCAGAATAACTAAAGAGTCTTGCATCTTCTACAATTGTTCTCTTTCAATCTTATTTTACTTCTGCTTTTCATCTTGCTTAGGTGGTATCGATCCTCTGCTTCGTGGACTGATTGGTCGGCCAGCAAAACTGAACACACAGGACCACATGTTGGTGGATGCTCTTAGAGAGAGGCTGTTTGCCTTTACATCACACATTGCTTTGGACTTGGCCGCCCTCAACATGCAGAGAAGCCGTGACCACGGTATACCAGGTAAAGATTCTGGACTTTCAGAACTCTTTAAACCAGGGGTGTCCAATCCTGCTCATGGAGGGCCACTGTCATGTAGAGTTTAGCTCCAACCCCAATTAAACACACCTGAACCAGTTAATCAAGGTTTTGCTAGGCATACTAGAAACTTCCATGCAGGTGTGTTAAGGCAAGTTGGAACTAAACTCTGGTCTTCCATGACCGAGTTTGGACACCCCTGCTTTAAACCCAACCATGTGGAGCCAACCCAACTTAATGCTGCATTATCACTCCATCCCCCGGTTTCACAGACAAGGCTTAAGCTAGTCCTAGACTAAAATGCATGTTTGAGCTGTCTCAAATGAAAATACCTTGCTCTGACATATCTTAAAATATGTCAGCGTCGTTGTTCTGTGTCAAGATGCACACCTGTTTCTTCTAAGGAATTTTTGTAAAAGTTGCTTAAATATCTTAATTTAACTAAGGCCTAGTCCTGGCTTAAGCTAAGCCCCGTTTGTGAAACCGGGCCCATGTGTTTTTGGAAGAAGACTTACTGAGTATCCATCTGTTGTTCTTCCTTATAAGGCTATAATTCATGGCGTCGGTTCTGTGGACTGTCCGCCCCTCAGAATAAGCAAGAATTGGCTGTGGTGATGAACAACACTGAATTGGCTCGCAGGTTGCTTGAGCTTTATGGCACTCCTGAGAACATTGACATTTGGTTGGGAGGTGTTGCTGAGCCTTTTGCTCCTGGTGCTCGTGTCGGTCCTCTTTTTGCCTGCCTCATCTCTACACAGTTCCAGCACATCCGCCAGGGGGATAGGTAAATATCTCTGTGTATTTAGTCCAATCCTTCTCCTGGAGGGCCACTATCCTGCAGAGTTCAGCTCCAACCCCATTACCCTAATTAACCACACCTTAAACAGCTAATCAAGTCTTCAGGAAACTTCCAGGCAGGTGTGTTGGGGCAGATTGGAACTAAACTCTGCAGGACAGGACACCTCTGATTTAATCTGAGACTAGTATGTGTTTGAGAGGTGTTAATGCCAAGTGTCACGGTGTGTTCAGGTTATGGTTTGAGAACCATGGAGTCTTCACCACCAAACAAAAAGCATCACTGGCCTCTGTGTCGCTAGCCCGCATCATCTGTGACAACACTGGAATCCTCAGAGTTCCCAATGATCCTTTCCGCTTCACCAGTCCTACTAGTTTTGTTAACTGTGGGGATATCCCAGCCTTTGACCTCACCCCTTGGATTGAAACCGGTAAGAGCTCTTAAATGCGTATGTGCGATACATAAATCTTCCTCTGACTGCAAATTTCTGCCTAAGCTTCTTACTAGCTTTATATGTGCTTGGACAGTACTTAATTTTGGTAATATAAGCATATATCATGTATTGAAGAAAAATTACAGTCTGTCCGCATGGTCGCCACAAATTTGGTTCACCTGTAATTTGGTGTTTGAAGTTTCAGGTGACAGTGGCATCCACATTTCAGACATTGGAAATGAGGTTAGACGAGTGTTTGTTTTCTCCTAATTGCAAGCAAAAAGAGCAAGTGATTTTGTTTTGCACATGACCTGTAATTGAGTTTAAAATGACAATCAGTTCACTGCAAAATCTCTAAACTTGACACAGCTTGAGTATCTTCTTTGACCTGCTTTGCTGTACACTGGATTGGTGCAGTGACATTAATGAATTTAAATGTCACAAATATCATGCAGTGTTTCATGACAGCATTCGAACTGCGCCAAACCTTTGTAAGCCTTGTTGAGACCTTCCTTCAGCCTTTTGCTTAAAACTGTGATTGCAAACAGTTAGGATTATAGTACAAATATAAAACATCTATTCATTTCCCCTCAGATACAGATTCCTTCCAAGGGCCTCCCGGGCCCAGAGGACCTTCAGGGGAACCTGGTAAGCCAGTCATGCATCAAACATGCCCTCTAAATATTACTTAAATATCACTTAAAGATCATTTATCATTTATTCTAATTTTTAATTTTCTCAGGTCCACGAGGTGTAGCAGGCCCCCCCGGACCTCCAGGACCTCCCATGAATACCACAGGACAACAGTCTGCCTTCTTTGCTTCTGTTGGTACCATCCTTCCTGTCACTGCTAAGGTTGTTGTGTTTAATAAGGTCCTTTACAATGGACAGAACCATTATAACCAAACATCAGGGCAGTTCTTTTGCCAGATACCCGGTGTATATGAATTCCAGTTCTCATGCCTAGGAACTCGGACTTTGGGTACTGTTACCTTAAAGAAAAATTATGCTGTACAGTTAACTGCTGAAACAATCAACTTTAATACACAATCATTAGCGGAAGGGAGCGTGGTTCTGAACCTGCAGAGAGGAGACCGTGTGTGGATAGAGGCTTCTCGGGGTGCTAATGGTATAGGCAGATCCAGCTATTTCTCTGGTCATATTCTTTTCCCTGTTTGAGACTATTGCTTATGATGCATTATTTTTTTCCCTTTCATATAGCTGTTGTTTTTTTATTATGAATGCAGTTGCGTACAAATGCATATATATATATATATATAATAGCTAAAAAAAGCCTATAAAATGCAAACTGTAAATTTGCTATTTTTCCATTGTCTTTTAAAAAAAAGACTTAATGTATCTTAAGTAGTTGTCCTTTTCTGTTGTTGGTGGTGTTTTGTTTTATTAATAAGATGACTATGACTGTTAGCTATGCAAAATTAAGGGTACAGTTATACTTAGTCTTTGAATTGTGCATTGTTTAAAGCACAAAGCAGTGCTCATGCAATGACATTTCTTTTCTCTTGTACTGTTTGTTGATATGTTTTTTTTGTTAGATTGCAACAAACATATTCTGTAGTCCATGGTGTGACAGTTATTTTTTTGTGTATGCTTTTAGCAAAGTGAAATAAACAAAAAATAAATTAACTTTCTGTATCAATTAATTATTAGCCTAGTTCTACTTCCTAAATGGTGAGTGTGAATACACAACCAAAATTGAAAATATTTAATATATAAAAAGGTCCAAATTAAAGTTGTGACTTGTCAACAAAAAACATATCAATAAAGACAAATCACTCTCAGTGGTTATGCTGTAAATCAGCAGCTTCAGCTTCCCCATCATGCCAGTCTCCGCTAACCTGGCTTGATTTCGTGTGACAGAAATGGCACAGGGAAGCATTTCTTCACAAACGTTAACCATATATAGCACCTCAGAAAACATTCTCACTTACAACATCAACTGAAAAGGGTTGCAGCAACATCATGAAGATAGCAGGTTGGGGAAATAACCACACTACCCACAAGCTGTTGGGACTTAATGTTAAGTCAAAAAGTTGCTTCATTTGTGCTCTTGCTAATACAACTTGGTCATATTCTACTCTGTGTTAGCAAAACGAAATCTTAAATTTGATCTAAACTGACATCCTTGCAGTCTTTATGTAGCAACCTGTTGGCAACTAAAACTAGGCCTATAATGCATAATTGGCTTAAAAAAATTAATATGACTGTGTGTATTTAACATTGCAGACGTAAATGTTAGAGTCAAGTAATGTTAACTACATTAACGTTTTCACATTTAAAAATTCATTCTCTGGAACTAGGCTAGGCCTATCAGGAACAATTCAAAATCATATGATATGATAATCAATATTCCATGCATCGTTGTAGTATGACACAAAGTGTTCTAAATGTAGGTCTACATTATTAGTAGTACTAGTATTAGACAATGCATACGTTCCAATGTACACACTATCCATCCTAAATTCTATGTGACATTAGTCATTTTCAATACTATTTAGGGAAGATAGGGAGAATAGTATGCACATTGAGACGCAGGGAATGAGTAGCCTAGTAATTAGTACCAGGGATTGAAATGAACTTTTTCACTCACCAGCCAATTTGGCTACTAAATTTTTAAGTTACCGGCCATTCATAACTTCTTTTACCTTTTATGGCCATTTTTATATAAAACCATTAATTTATTTAGAGTCAAATGCAATCAGTCAATTATAATAATAATACATTTAAGCTGTTACTAAACAAATGCAATCAGTATCAACAAAATTAATCTTTGCAGAATTTGCATATGAAGGGGCATTTAGATGTATTTAATGCAGCTTAGAGGGACATGGGATGCTTTAACCTGCAGTTACAAATGCATAAATAATGTTTTGATATTTTAAACATGAAATGTTGAATACTGATATTTGAAATTATTAAAAAAAAATAAAAAGATACTTTAAATGTAAAATGAAAACAATTAAAAACGCCAGTAGGTGGCAGCAAGTCACTGTTAAGGGAGTCATTGAGACTGAACCGAATTATTTAAACTGTTGATTCATTCAGGATCGAAACACCGCCATGTTGCTCAGAGACGCAAAACAGTTCTGTGGCTGTTTGGAATAATTTTTGTTGGCAAAATAGCGCCAATATGGTGTCTAAAACATAAGTCTCTTATTAACTTATTGTTTATTGAACTGTTGTACATAATCAATATCACATTTGTAACATTAAATAAAACGGCACTCTTCGTGTGATTTATTGATTAACTATATGAAATGATATAAATATATACATTTTCTGCCCCCTTATCTTGAATTATGTGATCATTCTTAATCTTAATGCATATAATAGACTGAATCATGCAGTGAAACTGAAAAAATGCACTCTAAATGCGTACGCGCACTAAGTTAGTAGGCCTACGTTAGTCGCTTATGCGTGCACTCTGGGTGTTTTGTTTGGTTTTTGCAATATACTCGATAATGTCATGATGTCTCACGAGTTCAGTATTTGCGCTAAACCTGCGCAGATTTGGCTTGCATGAAGCATGAATCCCCAATCCTCAGTTTGGTTCACTAGGCTACACAATCATGGGGAAGACTGCTGCAGATAGCAAGAACGTTTGGGCCAAATGTCGCTGATAGCTGTCACATTTGGCCTAGGTATGGCATGGCTGAGCACATATGGGCCAAACTTTAACCGTATATGTTTTGCCATGTATTGGTTTTTTAAATGTTTTCTAGGGGTGTAATGGTACACTTATTCATACTGAAAATTGTACCAAACAAATACAGTGTAATTTGAACCACTGCACGTGCGGAACTTAATCCGTTTCATAGCTGTGAATAAATCTTCACTATACATTATTACTATACATTACATTCTGTAATCGTAAGGTTTGTGTTTTGTTCTTTTCGATAAGAAACAAAGTCTCATTTTTAAAATTATGTATATTTTATCAGGAAATTAAATCCATAAATGCCGTTCTGACGCTCTTTGATGTGGCGTGACAGACTGCTACAAGCGGAAGCGCGGAGATAGCCTCTTAAATTGTCAATGAAATGGTGTTAGCTAGCTTACATTTACAATTACTTCTAGCTTACATCTGATTTACTTGCTGGCTAGCTGCTGTATAAACACATTTTGCTTTAGCATTTGCTAGTTAAACTTTAATACCATAGATCAAATATATTTAGCAATATCATCAAAACTGCTTAAATGTAGTAATGTGACTTAAACAGTCTTGCTGTATGCTGCAAGATTTATTATCTTTTTTTTTTTCAACTACATTTAAGTTCCCTCTTAATGTGCAGTTTGGCAGATTTCCAGTTTTATGTTCTGTATTGTAATTCTGTTATTAAAATTCTACTATAAACATTTTAAAAAATGAGTGTGAATCCATTTTTGTGTTTAAGATTTACTGTGTAATGGGTATTTTAAATACAAAAAATAGGTGTGGTGTAAATATGGTTAAATAATGGCATTTGGTTTATCAGCCACGTGTGGGCCACATAAGGGCTGTCAGCCCTTTACAGAACTCAGCCATATAAGAATACCATATAAGGTCCATATATCAGCCACATCTGTTTTTATTATTTGGCTCACTCTGGGTTGGGTTATGGCACTGTTTAGGTTCAGGTCTGGCTAAAAATATGTGGACCAGTTTTGGGCCGGCGAACACAAACTAATCTGGGCCACACTTTAGCTGTTGATATGGGCCAGATCCGCACCAAAGGAAATTAGCTGACTGGGTTCTAATTTGTTGAGATAGTGAATTGGTGGGTTTTTGTTAAATGTGAGCCAAAATCATCACAATTAAAAGAACCAAAGACTTAAACTACTTCAGTCTGTGTGCACTGAATTTATTTAATACACGAGTTTCACAATTTGAGTTGAATTACTGAAATAAATGAACTTTTCCACGACATTCTAATTTATTGAGATGCTCCTGTAACTTACGAAAAGTAACCAAATTGGCTAGTGATTTGACAGCGTCAAAGGTGTTAATTTCAAACCCTGATTAGTACTAATTATGGCAATTACAAGGCTTAAAAGCACTTTATATTCCGCTCCTGTGGAGGGCAGCAGCACATCGATTCGAGACCGGTCGAAATACGAACATTTGTTTGAGGAAGTAACTTAAATGTCTGCAAAGCCATTAAATCGTACAAGAAGAAGAAGAAGAAGAAGAAGAAGAAATATCTGCAAAAATGCCCAGATGATTTACACTACTTGTGTTTTGGTTAAAGACTGTGTTTTGCTGACTGTGAAGAAGACGAAGCCCGTCCCGGATCTGTCTTCACGAGCTGGTCTCGTGTTTCCCGTCAAGCACTTCCAGCAAACGTTCATCGACGGAAAGCTCCCGCGGACAGTCGACGAGGAAGCGGCGGTGTTTCTCACAGCCGTGCTGGAGTTCCTTGTGGCCGAGGTCCTGACTTTGGCGGGGAAAGATGCTGTATTTAATCAGTCAAATAAGATCACATTACATCATCTTCCTGGACTGCAGAACAAAAAGAGATATGCAAAGTTGTTGGAGCTGTCTCTAAAGAAGAAGAGGTAGATGAGGCTATGTAGTTCACTGCACTTTTGTTAACTTCGGACTGAGTGATGCACGAACATTTATTACTGTAATATTATCACTGTACAATTATATTTTGTTATCTTATTTATAATTATGAGATATATTTTGTCTTTTGGGGCTGTGCAATCCTTGAGCAAGAATTTTAAACTTTTATATTTGTTGGAGATAAACATTGTGAAATTGGAACGCATTCGCATATTGGTGTTTTAATGTTAACAAAAGATCTCCATTGCTACGCAAGATTAAAAAAATAAAAATAAAAAAATAAAAAAATAAAATATATATATATATGCACACTTTAATCACAAATCAGGTTTCCAGCAAAAGTACAACATTCAACATTTTCTTTATCAATCACTTTCTTTATCTCGTTTGCAATATTAGCCTATACTGTCCAGTGTTTTAACCTCTTCTGTGGCTGCTGGTCTGG